TGAGTAAAAATTTAGAACATGCGAGTTAAAATTTAAAACATGTGACTCAAACTAAAATTCTGAACATATGAGTAATAATTTAGAACATTTGTGTGAGTAATATGTTTAGAACATCTGAATTAAGAATTAGAACAAGTGATTAAAAATTTATAAAATTTGTTTTATGAAATTTTAAACATATGAGTAAATTTAGAACATCTGGTTTAAGATTATGAACATGTGAATAAAAATTTAGAACAAACTGATATAGAATATAGAAAGTGTGAGTAAGGAATTTAGAACATACGTGTAAAAAAAATAGAACATACGCTTTAAAATCTGGAACATATAATTAAAAATCTTAGAACACACGTTTTAAAATTTAGAACATATAAATTAAAATTTTGGAACAAGTTATTTAAAATTTATGACATCAAACTTAACTAATTTATGGTTTAGAACATTTGATTTAATTTAGAACACCTAAGGAAAAGTTTAGAACATCATATTTAAAATTTAGAACATACGAGTAAAAATTTAGAACATAAAGAGTGTTCTCACATAAGAAAAATTCTCATATAAGAAAAATTCTCACGAGAGTCTTCCCCTATATATATGGGGGAGGGATCCGGTAAGAACCTTTCTCTATATAAGAACTCAATTAAGAACCAATATCTACCGTAGGATTAGATTGATTTGAACGGATCCGATTGAAGGAAGAGGAGTAATGGCACTTTTGTAAATATTAAACCACAACCTTTATTACTTGATCAAAAAAATAAGAACATTCTCTCTCCTACTATACCCATTTGCTTCTCTTTCTCTCTCCTACAACCAAACACACTCTTCAAAACCTCCATTAACATACCAAATTCAAGCTTCTATTACAGATTCTGTTCAATTTTTTTTGTCCCAATCAATGATTAATACTTATAAACTTGCACTAAACATATAAATTGAGAAATTTGAGTACATTTTTCGCCAAGCCCTAGTTGACGCAATTCGTTAGATTTGGGTACAATTATTTTGAATTCGTTAGATGTTCATTGCTTATGTTTATTATATGTTCGAATTTGTTGTTCGAATTCATTAATTTCGTTGTTCTAATTCAATATGTTTGTTAGTTGATTTTGTTAGTTCTAATTTCGAATTTGTTGTTTGAATTCATTGAATTTGTAACCTTTTATTCATGTTGTTGGTATAGATTTGTTACAGGAAAATATGCAATCATAAAACAAAATTGGTACTCTGTAAATTTTGATGTTCCGTTTATCATCTAAGTGTTCGATTAGGTAGGTGACAAACATGTAGAAAATTGCTTGGATTTATCAATCAATTTTTTTTTAAAACAAAAAAAAATTATTTGCTGGCTACTTCGTAGTTTTTTGGCAAAAGATCATATGTAATTGCAGAATTGCTAGTTAAGATTACATTTGTTTGGCTACTAATGTCTATCTTAGTTAAATTACTGTAATAGTAACTTATTATTTGGATAAGTAACTTGATAAAAACTCATCATGTACTACCCACTTATATTTTAGAACATAAAAATAATATTAATTTAGAATATAGCTTTAGAACATAAGACAAAAATGTAGAACATAGACAAAATGTTTAAAGCATAGGCCGAAGAAATTTAGAACATAGTAAAAAAAAAAAAAGGCTTAGATTATATGAAAAAGTTTAAAAGATATAAATAGAACATAGGGAAAATTTTTTGAATGTAGGCAGAGTATATAGAACATAGGATAAATACATTGAGAACATTGTAAAAAATATTAGAACTAGCATAGGCTTAAAAGTTAGAACATAGCCCTACATCAAAGAAAAAAAATTAGAACATAGGTGAAAAAAAATTAGAACATAAAAAAAAAATTAGAACATAGGTGAAAAAAAAAAATTAGAACATAGGATTAAAATTTTTGGACATAGAATAAAAATTTAGAACATAGAAAAAAATTCAAGTTATAAAACTTTAGAACATAGGAAACTGATATTAGAACATAGACTTACATCAAAGAAAAAAATTTAGAACATAGTCTTACATCAAAGAAAAAAATTTAGAATATAGGGAAAAGATTTAGAACATGGAAGAAATAAAATTTGGAACATAATTAAATTTTAGAACATAGAATAAAAATTTATGACATAGGAAAAAAATTCAGGTTATATACTTTAGAACATAGGCAATTGATATTAGAACATAGGCTTACATTAAAGAAAAGAAAAAAAAATTAGAACATAAGTGGAAAAAAAAATTTAGAACATAGGAAAAATTTAGAACATGGGAATAAAATTTTTGGACATAGAATAAAAATTAGAACATAGAAAAAAATTCAGGTTATATAACTTTAGAACATAGGAAACTGATATTAGAACATAGGCTTACATCAAAGAAAAAAAATTTAGAACATAGTATTACATCAAAGAATAAAATTTAGAACATAGGGAAAAGATTTAGAACATGGAAGAAACAAAATTTGGAACATAGGATTAAATTTTAGAACATAGAATAAAAATTTAGGACATAGAAAAAAAATTCAGGTTATATACTTTAGAACATAGACAATTGATATTAGAACATAGGCTTACATTAAAGAAAAAAATTTAGAACATAGGGAAAAAATTTAGAACATAGAAGAAAAAAAAAATTAGAACATGGGTGGAAAAAAATTTTAGAACATAAGATCAAATTTTAGAACATAGAATAAAAATTTAGAACATACAAAAAAAATTCAGATTATATAATTTTATAACATAGAAAATTGTTGTTAAGGAAAAAACCATTAGAATTGGCAACAAATTTAGAACATAAGCAAAAAAAAAAAGGTTTTAGAACATGGAAAAAATGTTAGAACACGTGTTTTAAATCTAGTAAAAATAAATTAGAACATAGGCAGAGAACTTTAGAACATAGAATAAAATTACTTAGATTAGGAGCTAGAGAAAAAAATTTAGAACATAAGAAAAGAAAAAAAAAATTAGAACATAGGTTAAATAATTTAGAACATAGGCATAAAACTTTAGAACATAGGAAAACTAATTTAGAACATAAGCAGAAAATCTTAACATGAGAACATAGGGAGGCTCAAATCTTTATAACATAGGCAAAAATAATTTAGAACATAGAATTATTGTTATGTATGCAAAAACCTTCCTTTCAAAAAAAAAAAAAGTATGCTAAAACCTATTAGCTCAAGTGGTAGAGCACTATGCAAATGCATAGATGATGTAGGTTCGATTCCTACATAAGTAATCTCAAAAAATAAATTGAAAAACAATTGTAAACCAAAATATTTCATAAATAAACTAGAATAAGTCAAAGTAAATTAAAAAAAAAAAAAACCAGAAATTAAGTAATCAAATTAGCATTAAGTTTTACAAAATAAAAAAAATAGCTTGAAATGATTAATGAAAGTTTGAAAATTTTGTTATAAACAAATATAATATAATACTCTTTTCTATATTATACAAATGAATCTACGTGGGACTCGAACCCACATCTTTGTGCTTTTGCACAATGCTCTACTAGTTGAGTTAGTAGGTTTATTTCTTCTTATGTTATATGAATCATAAATTCAGATTTAAAATTAAACCAAAAGGACAACTAAAACCTGAATGAGTAATATAAGAAGAAATTTAATGGACATAGTGTTGCAATTATTACAATAAGTAGATAAAGTAGATTGATGAGAATAAAATGGCATTTCTTATTACGACAATGTCATAACTATCTTATTCATTTTGAGCGGTCAGATCAAATCTAATCCCACGGTCTAGATTAGTTCTTATATATGTTGGGTTTTTATATAGAGGAGGGTTCTTACATGAGCCTTCCTCAAGAGGAATATATTCTAAACCCTACTTTTAGTTTTTTTTTTATTGTTCTTTTTTTTTTTCTGTTATTATTTGCCTTGCAGGTTTGGAAAGCCAATATGCTATATCTTCAGAAGAATACAAGTTTAAGCATTCTATATTCGATGCTCATATTGATAAGGTGAACCCGAAATGAAACTAGTATATGGTGCTTTATTTGCTACGTGAAAATGGTGCTTGACTTATATTTTGTTGGATCTTTTCTTTTACCTTTCAGATTTTTATTGGTGTGGTGGATTATGGGCACTTCTTCAGTATCATTGTTCATGTAAATGAATAACAGATCTACATACTCGATTCTCTGGATAATGGCATTTCTCCAGATACTTATTTGTCGCATGTCTCTGTGTTGGTACTAGTCCATGTCCATTTTTATTTTGAATTGTTTGATATTTACAAGTTTCTAACAAAGCACTAATGTATTCTCCACTTCTTAGGTAAAGCATCTGTATCACCAATATAGTGTGGACATGAATTCTTGGAATTTTTTTTACTGTAACAGGGAATGCCAAGCAGGACAATGGGTATCATTGTGGAGTTTTCATGCTTAAGAACTTACAATATTGGGAAAAAGGTGAAAAGCTACCTTTTGAGACGGTATGTTCCGTTTTTCTCTTTTTGATAAGAATTATGTGCTGAGATAAATTAACTTACGAAATCTTTGCATTAGGCTAATGCTACAAATGCAAAATTGATCATATTCTGGGAAATTTTGAAGAAAAAGTTGGCTTCCAAGGATTGCTTCCTCTAAGGTACGAGTAATGTGTGCCTTTACTTCGTTTATTTCCTTTGAATTATAATAGAGGTTGAATATTGATTTTTTTTTTCAATAAAGATGGCCGCAGCAGGGTCGACGATGATTCAAGAACAGCGGGCATCGTTCTAGATGGGGTTTTGATCTTCCTTGGTGCAAAGTTGAAGAAGCTTTTTGTTATTACTCTCATGGTTTTGATTAAAGTCTTAGAAGTATTTGTTATTACTTAATCATTGTTAATGTCTTAATGACATTGAGATTAGCCTTGTTTCTACTGAGAATTTAGGAAGGTGCTTTATTGATTTACTTAATAATATGATGAATGAATGATGTATTGATGATTAATTTAGATCATTGGGGTCCCCTTCAATTTGGCAAGGCCAAAAAATTATATATACTATACATACATATCTTTTTAACCACAATAATTCTTACTGAATCAGTATATTGACATATAATAACATATTGTTCAAAAGACATGAACTCAGAAAGAGGTTAGTTGCCTTATTATGTCTTTTCAAATGGTTGAAAATGCACACAAACGCAAATATTTTGGAGGAGGCCAGCATGGATTTATGTTGTGAATTACAAAAGAAATTATTAACACTGTTAACAATTGGGTATTTGAGCATTAAAAATCTTGGGTATCAAAACAATAGATTTCTTTCTGTATATGAGAGGAAGAAATACACTGCAGCTCCCACAGCCTACGCCATATCCCACAACCTACGCCACCACCCACACCCTAAGCCGCCAGTAATACCCTACGCCAACTATAAAATCTTATTTTCGGGTTAAATAAGAGCTACACAAACACTGCAGTAAACAAGTTTAGCACAGATAAAATGTTTTCCAACAAACTCTCAAGACGGCGAGATAATGATAATGATACACGGGCTAAGGGTGGTGATGATGGGGCAAGTGGGCAAGTCTAGCCGTGAAGATTGGGGTGTGAATTTTTCTAAGGTAGATGGTCAAACTGATGGATCTCTTATGAACAGTAAAGGAAATTGGCTAGCTATTCAGCGGCAGTTGTTGCAATTAGAGAGACAACATGCTCATCTGATGAATATGTTAGTTTTGTCTTGACAATAGGTTCCAGAATTAAATAATAACTAAAGGTTATTTATGTGCTAGGAGTTCATGGGTGGCTCACTTGACAGCATGATGACTCTTGAAAATAGAGTTCGGGGTCTGGAGAGGGTGGGTGAAGATATGGCACATGATTTGTCCATATCATCAAGCAGGCGGGTTGGTAACTTTCGTTGTGGCAAGTATGGGGGGAGACTTCTATTCTGGTTATGAAGTAGTGTCTCCAAGCATGAGAGGTAGAGTAGTATCTTGGAGAGTTGGAGGTCTGATCATCACGAGCTTGGGAAGCTTATTACTTTTTTTTTTTTTTTTTTTTTTTTTTTTTTTTTTTTTTTTATCTTTTAAGTTCCTTGATTGTTTTTAATAGTGGGGGATTCTTGGATGAAATGGGTGTGAAGCAGCATTAAAAATCATTTTTTAGCATCAAGTACTGTATGTGTAATTTTGTTCATAAATTTGCATATTGGTACAGAATTTGGTATCTTAGGCTTTACATTTTTGAAGTGTAATTGGAGTTTTAATGGCACTCAATGGATTGGAAAGCACTTGAACAATCTGAAAAAAAGTTGTAGACTAAGTTTTCTCAACCCGTTACATGTAGTAGGCGCAATCATGTATATGTCTTGGTTCACTAGTGTCTCTGCAATATACCTAGGATGGGATCTCTTATATGCAGTAGGCGCAATCATGTATATGTCTTGGTTCCATCCTAATGGTTATTTTTCAACAAATTAAGCCTGCTCACTATGAATTTGCATTACCTCTAGCATATCTTCTTCTTTCCTTTATAAAACTCACTGATCCTCTCTATATGTATTGCTCTGACTCTAAAAGTTATTTCGACTTACTAGAAGTAATTATTACCAAATGGAGCTAATTCCAACTATTACTTACTAGAATTGATTTTCTTAACAATATATTTCTTAAGGTGAATTAAATAGGGCCTAAGTCAGTTAGGTATTGTTTGAAAAAGAAAGCAAAGTGCTTGTGAAAGGAAAAATATAGTAAAGGAGGAGAGTTGAGTTTTACAGTAAATAAAGCAGAGTTAGTAAGGAAAAGATTATCATTAGAATTCAGATCTACTGGTTGTTTGTTTAGCTTAGTTTTGTGAGTGAGTCAAGCCACTGGAATTTCATCTTTATTTTCTATTGTTAGGTCATTAGTGCTAAATCATTAACCTCTTCTTGTAACTTCTTCAAATCTGCACTTTTTCACATATTAAGATTTTCCAGATTCTTGGTTTACTAAGCTAACATTTCAAATACTTTAGAGTTTGTCATTGTCGTTTGTATAAAAAATTTTGTTAATCCAAATTTTTGCAAAAAGGTTATGATGAAATATCTTGAGCACCATGTATGGTAAAAGATGCTTCATCTGTTGTTGTCTCTTGACCAATATAAGCCTTCCAAATAATTGTTTCCTTTCCATAAATGATAATTATTACTTGGCATCTATAGCTATGCATCCTTAATCCTACTTTACAGCTATTTTTAAAATCCTTATGGTTTCTCTTTATATCATACAAAGTAGAGTAGTAATGCATGTAGCATGTATAGTATATGCATACTAGAGAGCTGTTCTAATAATCAAGCTCACTATGAATTTGCATTACCTCTAGCATATCTTCTTCTTTGCTTTTTAGAACTCACTGATCCTCTCTATCTTCTTCTTGTAGGCTGTGAAGACATGTGATACTATCCTTATAGGATAATATCTTTTCACTGGAAGTGAGACTACTTCAGTTTGGCTTGAGGTAAGTATATTAAGACACAATTATTAGATCGGTTGGTTTTACATCGTATGCAAGCCTACTGCTATTATGTATTAGTGCTTTGATGAGTAGTTATGCCTGTTGTTTGCTGATATTACTGAGTAGTTATGGAATACATGACACTGAAAATTAAGGATCCTGATATTGTGGTTACTTGATATATGTTATGTATTGAATCAAAATCATGATAATCAAGCCTACTGTTGTTTCAATGCAAGCCTATTGTTGTTTATTATTTCAATTCAGTATTTGGTTATTTCAATGCAAGCCTACTGTTGTTTCAATGCAAGCCTATTGTTGTTTATTATTTCAATTCAGTATTTGGTTATTTCAATGCAAGCCTACTGTTGTTTTCCATCATAACAACAAAGCTCGGCATAATTGTTGTTTTCCATCAGGATAATGAAGAAATTCAATTGTCGCTGCACATTAAAAGGCCTTGCAGATTTATGATTAGACGACAAGAAGAAAGATCTGATGAAAAATAGTCAGTTCTATGAGCTTCTCAATGTAAAACAAAAGGCTACTTCTAGTTTCTTGGTTCACAGGTTTTTTTAGTGTTACACGGTTGCTGACAAACATTTTGAAGTTAAAGAAATTGTTATATCAATTGATGTGAGTGATATAACAAGAATGACGGGATTAAATGCAAGTGGAGACGCATATGAGAAGGGTAAATCCCGAGAGATTCCGAAATGGTATAATGAATTGTATGTGAAATATCCTCCTCCTACGAAAGTGAAAGAGAAAGAGGAAGAGAAGGAAGAGAAGACAGAGAAAGAGGGAGCTATGGAAGAGAAAGAGGAGAACTTAAGGAAGAGAAAGAGGAGAACTTAAGGAAGAGAAGGATGCCCCATAAGAACACTGTGTCTCATCTTCTTCGTACTATGCATGTAGATACTGAAGAGGAACAAGAGAACTTCAGGAGGTTATGTGTTATTTCCTCATTTGCTTCTATGTTGATGCTCCATCAGATGATGTAGGAGGGTTGCATCACTTTGCCGATGTAGCCGATCTTGAAAATTTTGAGAAGATCTGTTGGGCACAAGTGATGCTAAGCAACCAATGGCGGATCTAAGAAGGCACAAGGGGTAGCACATGCTACCCCTTAAAAAAAAAAAAAAAAAAGAACTGTTGATCCGTACCAATTCTTGTTGTTTTTAGCTTTAAACTAAAGAGACCTGTTATTATTAGGTTATTTTTTTTATTTTATATTTCTTTTTATAACCTGTTGTGGCTTATTTTTTTAATTTTACTTTTGTTTCTACTTTATATGTTTGCATAGCTAATTATGTGTTCAACTAATTTTATTTTGATGTCTTTCTTTTAAGTTATGAAAATCAAGTACTAAAATTTATCATTTTTAAACTATAAAATAAACATATACTCATACTTTAATTATTTTTTATTCATCCGATAGTCGTATTACTCGTATATGATACTAATCATAATTTTTTTTCTAAAAATGCGTAACTTATAATTCTTCAAAACTCCTTCATTTGACGAAATTCTTCCCAATTTTTTGCACTTTTATTTCAATACACATATTTAGTAAGTAATTTATTTACTACCGAATAGAATTTTATATGAGTAAAACAATTAAGAAAATTTATAGTATATAGTAGTATAACTTACCATACATATACAAAGTAGTTTTTACACTTATGATACACGGAGACAACGGAAAACATAGAAAGATAATCTATTGAACATATAAAGTACTTTTTAATTTGATCATTGTATTATATTGATAACTAGAATATAAATAATGAAAATTTATCAAACAAAACAAATCTTAAAAATTTAAAGGCTAATTAACGCTAATATATATAATAACTCGTTTTAACCCTTTTTTCTCTTATTGTTTAATGGCTAAATGTTACCCCTACTTAAAATTCCTGGATCCGCCACAATAAGCAACATAATTGATTGCGCGGAAAAAGTATCTACTCAAAGTGATAGATCCTACATAACGTGCAATTCTCCTATTGTTGAGGTACGTTTTACTTTATCTATTCTTTTATATTCAGTCATGTGGAATCATGTGTTAATCCGTCCACTCTTATTTTTGATAGTCATAGATGTGGTATATTAGTTTAGAATGGATGATTAGATGATTGTGGTCCTCTGTGGTGCATTCGTTTATTATATATATAGATGTGGTATATTGGTTTAGAATGGATGATTCGATGATTGCGGTCCTCTGTGGTGCATTCGTTTATTATATATATATATATATATATATATATATATATATATATATATAACTTAATCATTAAGTTTTCAAAACCTTTTTCTTATTCGTCGGTATCTCATTAAGAAACGTTCTGATTGGCTGAAACGCGTAAGCCAAAGTTCAATGAATCTAGACGCTTTCATGTGAGGGGGTTTCGAGGATGGGAGTGAGCCGGGGTGGACGTTTAGAGGACGGGAGTGAGCTTGGGTGGGTGTTTTAGGCAATGTGACTAACAAGTTTAAGAAATTCAATATGGTTCTTAAGTGCTTGATTCTCTTGCTGAGACTTGTTA